ACTTGAATTGGGCCCGGACTTCAATGGGAAGCCAGTGAAGCTGACGGAGAACTGGAGTCATGTGAGCATAACGTCCAGTTCCCGTCAGCAGCCTGGCAGCTCTATTTTGAACCAATTGAAGTATCCGGACCGTCTTCAAGGGCAGCCCCACGTAGAGCGCGTTACAGAAGTCAAGACGGGAAGTCACCAGTGTATGAGTCACTGTTGCGAGGCTGTCGTACTCCAGATAGGGGCGCAGCTGATGAATCAGCCGAAGCTGGAGGAAAGCGCTCCTCGCCGCTGCTGTTACCTGAGCTTCGAGTGAAAGCTCCAGGTCGAGGAGCACTCCCAAGCTGCGGACCTTATCCCTATTGCATCTTCCTTATTCCGAATCTTATTGCATCTTCCATTTTAGAAGTATTCTACAGTATTCAGACTGAGGAAGCTCAAGACATATTGCATAATATTGTTCTTAATAAGGCAGTTAATGTAAAGCTAGAGAGGATAGATAAAAGGTAGATACAGTACCTTGCCCATATGTTATTTTGAAATAGTATCTTGTTTTAAAACAGCTGGTCATACTATAATAATGCCTTGCAGAGGTGTTCACCTCTCTTTGACTTTGCCACATTTTGTTGTGTTACAACCTGGAACTGAATGGATTTAATTGCCGTAGTTATCAGTTGATATACACAAGATCTTAAAACATCACATGTACTTTGACAGATTGGTGTGTATGCGTGTGTGTGTGTGTGTGTGTGTGTGTGTGTGTGTGTGTGGAGAGAGACCTAAATTCTAGACTAGCCAGAGTGATATATTCACTTTGCAATTATCTTTGTCTTTCCAGAGGTATGTCTGGTGGAAGAAGAGCCTGGATGTTTGGACAAAAGATCACCCGTTCCCTATAGACATTGATTATATGATCAGTGATACATTAGAACTGCTGAGACCAAAGATAAAACTCTGCAATTCTCTGGAAGAATCTGTTAGGCAGGTACAAGAACTGGAAAGGGAAATCTTAATCAAATTAGGTAAGAATGTTATGTCAGGAAGCACAAGAGCTGAAATAATTGCTGCCTGATCTGAGGCTTGTACACCTTACCATAACCTTAAGTCAGGACCATTGACCCTCTCTTGCCCCAATGGCTGAGTCCAATTTGAGAGAAGTTATTGGGAGCCATGCTTCAGTGGTCGGTGGGGCCAAAGGCAAACTGGACAGGGCCAAAAGGCATAGGAAATCGTTCATTGTTTTTGCCTGTTCACCTGCCCTCTGCAAACATGGGAAGAATGACAGCAGAAAAGTGAAGGAGCAAAGCCTCATTTGTCTAGCTGTCCTCTTTTGGGCAACTAAAGCTTTTGGGGTCCAGAGGGAGGAGAATGCTTGTGAATGGCCAAGAATGTGGGTCTGTTCAGGGCCTGTTGCCCAAGGGTTTCACAGTTTGGATTTGGCATGGCCTAATGATTTGTTAAATTTGCAATTGCATATCATTTCCTATAAGAGAGGTAAACTGATTATCTGAAAATTGCAACAACCTGCACATGCCCAATGATATAAAGAAAGCCTAGAAATTCTAATTAAAGAATAATAGATTGGTGCTTCAGAATGAAAATTAGATGGAACTCCCAATTCTGGTGAGAAAGTTGGATGAATTTTGTAGAAATTGAAATACAAAGTTGGATTTGTGATTGAATTCCAAAAGTAAAGCACTACATAATATTTAATTTTATTTTTGAAAAGATGTTTACCTATACCCACAAACCACTGGTTTTTCAGTAGATTAAAATATAATACATCAAATATTTTAAAATATAATAAGCTGTGCAATAAACCATATAATAAACCACATTAGAGTAATCTGTAATTCCTTTGATATGCATTCTACATTTTAACTAAACAGATTCTGCAGATAGTAATAAAACTCTGCAATTTCATTAAGCAACAAAAGCTATCACTATGAAGGCACCCTGCTAATAAGAAGCTTTTGCTACAGGGTGGTATAGAACTGGAATGAATAACCATAATCATGATGAAATATATAAGATGGGGTAGCCTTATGTCAAAAGATACTGATGTTCATTGAGAAGAAAACAGAATGAACTGAATTGTAATTATTTTAATTTCAACTGAGATGTAAATGTCATTTTCTTGTGGATCAGGGTTACCTCTGGTACTGTGTATGGATGACTTTTGTACTTGATACAGGTGCAGGCTTCTCACAACATTAGTCTGATACAGGATCTGTTGATTTAATGTTGGAATGTCCTTGCCTTATTTATTTTTTATATTCCAAAATAGCAAGCTTTGCTGACTTGAAACTTCAGTGTTAAACATACTCTTTATGTTTTGGAATTTGCCAACCTGCCTTGGAGTGGGAAAGGATGTGGGAGCACTGAGGGATTGGCTCTTAAACCCATCTTCCTGCTAGGGAAGAAGGATGGGTCTAGTTTTTCAGTTGCCTGTTGAAAAACTAGTCTTAATGACCCACTGAATTATACTTTTCTCTCGTCCATTAAATAAGATGAATTGCTTTGTCCTCCAAAATGTGCTGGAAATTTACTTGAAGAAATTCCAAAGACCCTGTATTTGTCCTGATGTAGTGGCTTACATAACTTGAAGCTTGAGCTTGGAGATGTTGCAACCTAATCCTTCACATGCCTCTCAGAAATAAATCCCATTGACTTCAGTGGGACTAAGGCTTTCAGTCTTAGTCAGAGTTTTCCGTAATGTATGTTTCCTAATTCTTGTTTCCTTTCATAGGACTTGTGAATGACAAGGATTCTAAAGATTCACTTACTGAAGGAGAGAACCTGGAGGAGGAGGAGGAGGAAGAGGAAGGTGGAGTAGAGATAGGAGAACAATCTGGAAATGAAAGTGAAATAAATGAGCCAGAGGAGGAGGTGATTTCCCCACCACCACCACCACTAATTTTCTTACTTACAGCTTGAGAGAATGTATAAGCATACGATGATGGCCGGTTACCCAGCCGAGGCTCAAGATTTCAAAAACACTTGAAAGTGACCTGATAGTTGTCCTCAGCCTAATGCCAGCATAACTGGGAATTGCATACTTTATTTTAGGAATCATGCCTGCTGTTTCCTGTACTTACTATGGCCCTTTATTATGTATTTGAAGCTTCTGAGGTTAGGAAATAATTGGGTCTGCTGATCAGCATCACTGTAAGGAGGTCAGGTGTGGAATTCTCTTTTGCATTATCAAGAACTTCATGCAAGAAGATGTGATCTTAAGGAAAGCCTTCTCACAGTAGAGTGAGAACTGGGAAAGAGTCCATGGACTCTGATAGGGCAGATTTGGTACATATACTGAGCAATGTAACAGATAGTGTGTGGGTTCACCCAGAGTCCCATCATCAGTTTATTTGTATGCCACTCTTCCACAGTAAACTTTCCTCAGAGTGGCTTCCAACAACATCAGGGGAAAAAAGCATATCTAAAATGTAGCAAGCAACATTCCAGATCCAAATACTGAAATAAAATAGGTTAAGTTTATTAGGTTAAGCTTCATAATATACCAAGGTTAAGCAATCCACTCCAGTGAATAGTGAGGCCCAGCAGAATAGAAAAACAAATATCTGAACAGAAATGAAAATAATACATCTATTCTAAAATGAAAGAGTTACCCATTTCTGATGGTTCCTAGGTAGTGTCAGCCTTTGCCTGTGAAGCTAGAGTTAGTCAGGGCCCTGCCTCCTCATGCAAAAGTGGAACTGAGCATGACAGAGCAATAAGGGGCTAGTTGGGTCTTGCAGAACTTATATCACGATGTTCTTCTGTAGTTTTGATCTCCTCCTTTTGGGAGTGGTGGAAGATGGAAGAATTTCACCATCTGAGCATAGACACTCTCTTCCTCTGCAAGGCTTTGTGCTTCATCTAGCTTAGCCTGCCATACTATGCACTACGCTATGCACATTCTCTAAAGCTTAAATCCTTAACCATATTACCAGCATGCATAATTTTTAAACAATGATTATCTACCTTAGATTGTTCTAGTCCATACAGTTGCTGGACTGTAAGGGAATCTGTTGAGCATAGCAGTTAAATAACAGGATAAATATTCAGTAATACTTTGCTGGGAAATATTTATCTGCTACTGATCAACTGGGTAGAGAGTATTTCAAAATGCAAGTAGTAGGGATTCCTAGAAAACAAATCTGACTCTCTCTCTATATATGAAATAATTAAACCTTTGAAAATTGCAGTTTGTGTCCGTTGTGTTGAAACATGGCTTGAGATTGTACATTAAAGCTGTTAACATTTCAGGAGGGCTCCGACAATGATGATGAAGAGGGAGAAGAAGAAGAAGAAGAAAATACGGATTATCTCACAGACTCTAATAAGGAGAATGAAACTGATGAAGAGAATACTGTATGTATTGTTTTTAAGATTAATATTTGGAACCAAAAGCAATATGCACTCACACTAAGTAGATGGATGCATAATATTAATGAGCTTGATTTGGCTTATCAATTCATATAAATATCAAGATACAAAATGTGGTAAAGTAGTCCTTGTGTAGGCACAATATCCACAAATGAAGATGTTGACATAGGATTCAATATTTTGGAAGCTCAAGTAAAATTGCATAAAGAAGAGAGAGAGGGAAGCTAGGTAGGAATACTAGTATTACAGACCAGCCTTGGATTCTTTTAATAGTCCATTGCTGATGTGCAGGGAAAACACACAGAGACTTCTGGTCCCCAGAAATGGCCCAACATACTGAGCTGCATAGGTAATGTTCGTTTGAGCCCTCTACTGATCTTGCCACATGCAGATATTGTGCCTACATTAGGATGGATTGTGCACAAAAATTCACTGTTTTCATAACTGTCCACCTGAAGAATACTGATGATTGGCTTTGGCAAGTGTTTGCCAAAACAAACTGGTCTACCTCACCTATGTTGTATTGGAATGAAGTGAATGAAGTTCGGTGTGGTGTAGTGGTTAGGGTGTTGGATTGCAACTCAGTGGCTCTAGGTCCTAGTTCCCACTTGACCATTATGTCACTGAGTCACTTTGGCCCAGTCACTGACCCCCCACCCCCAGTCTACCCTTCTTCATAGGGTTGTTGTGAGTACAAAGTGGAGAGGAGCATGAGGATGATGGAAGCTACCTTGTAGGGGGGAAATACCCTAATATTTTATCTATTTGTTTATTAGATTTAGATCCCATTTTTTTCTTATAACAGATTCAAAGTGGCTTACCTCATTTCCTCCTCCTGCTCTCAATCTTATCCCCCCAATAACAAGGAGGGAGGGAGGGCTGACAAGTCTATGACTGGGCCAAGGTCACCCACTTGGTTCCTTGGCCAAGCAGGGACTAGAACCCAGATCACCTGAGTCCCAGTCCTACGTTCTTAACCACTGTACCACAGTGGCTCTCTCTCACTGGCTCTCTCACACTGTTATGTAACAAATAATTTCTTGATTTCTGGCCAAATTTCTGCATCCTCTTGGGTATCAGTTCTGTACTGGCATTGGTTGGCATAAGCTATTATTGAACTGGCAACTGTTACGTTGTCCAGGCGATAGCTGTCTGTGCACTTAATATATAATCTATATATACTTTTATAAAAATGTGACAAATGAAACTGCCCAGAGAGCTTCAGTTGTGGGCAGTATAGAAATGCAATAAATAAATAAAGGTGCAAGTGATTGAAAATAATCTTATAATAATCCGATGATTGAAATTGCATTAAGCAGGGAGTTTTATTTAAAACTGCTAGCTGCTTCCAAAGATGAAAATGTTGAGGGTTTTGAAGCCCACAGTTTGAGGGATACAATTGAATTTTTTTTGTGCCTAATTAACTCCTTCACAAGTGGCTAATTTATAGACAAAACAACTTCTGAGTTAAGAAGCACATGTATTTTGACATATGGCTGAGACATTGCATACAAATGTCACACCATTAAAATATGAACTATTTCTACCTATCATTTAGAAAAACATTTTGTCCTGATCCTAAACACCAGTTAAAACTTGTTAATAGCTATCGAGAGCCAGACAAATCACTTCACAGCCTGTTAAACACCATGTAACTGATCTTAACTGAGAAAGAATTATATTAGCTCATCAGACTAAGGAAATAATAGCATTTTTTTCTTCCCCCATTTTATTAGGAAGTAATGATTAAAGGAGGTGGACTGAAACGTGTCCCGTGCGCTGAAGATGAAGACTTCATTCAGGCATTGGACAAAATGATGCTGGAAAATTTGCAGGTATTGCATTTATTGTCACCTGAATTGGTTGACTTACTTGTGCACTTCCACAGAAGCCCTAATTTAGCTTTTATGGAAGCATTTTTGTGCAACCATCTTGAATTGTGCCTCTAGTAGTGCACCTTATTTAAAGTGGATGTTTAAAAAACATTCCATTTTCTCTACTTGGACACCATCCAGTGGTCCAGATACTGGGGTACCCTTCATCCTATCCACAAGGATGTGGATGACTTTCCTGTTTAACTGTTTGTAAAATTTGCACTGTGCTTTTCTGTAAATTATTCTTAGAAAAGGAGTACAATAGTACGAATGAAGGCAGTGGCAGGATTGGGCACAGCAGCAACTATTAAGAACAGGCAAAAAACAATCTGGCATCTTAAAAGAGCTGGGGAAGTGCAAAGATCTTTCATACCGAAAAGACATAAATGTGTGCCAGGAAAACCTGTTATATCCTGCTCACTGTAGAATTATATAAAATTAGCATACTTAGTATTCCTTAGCATACTAAGGAAGTCAAAGGCTTACCTTAAAGTATGCTTCCCAGTACTCTGGTTTCAATGGAAACTGAATTTGAGCCATAAATATATTGTCTGCTGAATCTGAACCAATAATAATAATTTTTAAAATCCTGGCTTAATTACCTGATATTTTTTGGAGGGGGGAGAATAGCTCAACTCCCTGGATGAATATTTCCATCCAAAAAAGAATTACATTTCAACACAAGTATGTTCTTAGCTGTTAGACTCAAAAAGAAAAAGTCCAACAGGACTTGAATAATAATATCAAATATATTAGCAAATGTTAGCAACATTACATAAAATTTGGTGAGTGCAACGTGTTCTGGCCATTATGGTACATGGGATTTGAGCATGATTGCTAGAGATTACACAGGAAGAAGAAGAAATATTTTGCTTAATACTTTCCTTTTGGGGGCACAATTGATTTTGCTGTTACTGTACTCTTGGCATGAAGCTGCAGTCATTGCTAGATTCTTCGTGAGTGTACCTGATAAGATCCAAAATGGTTTACAAAGAATGTCAACATGCATACTTCTAGGTATACAGACAGAATTAATATATGTCTAAAACACAATCTGGGAAGCAGTTATATAGGTTACTATGTTCATATCACCTTGTTCGTTGTCATAGCTAAAATAAGCACTTCTTTTTACATTCTGTTTTTGTACTCGGACATTTACACTTTGTGTTTATATTGCACATTCAGCAAAGGAGTGGCGAGTCTGTGAAAGTGCATCAGCTAGATGTTGCAATTCCCTTGCATCTCAAGAGCCAGCTCAAGAAGGGTCCACCACTAGGTGGTGGGGAAGGAGAATCTGAATCTGGAGACACAATGCCTTTTGTCATGTTAACTCGAAAAGGCAACAAGCAGCAGGTGAGGATCTATCGCGATGTGAATTAATGTTGTCCTTTTAACATGTATTACCTTCTTAATGTCCTTATTCCTGCATGTTCTCTTCAGTGTCCAGTATTGCTGGGAAATGAGACTGAAGTAGGGATCAGTGTGAAGACCTTTTACAGTAAGAAGTCTCAGCGAGCAAAAAAGATGTTAAGCAGTCATTGCCTCATTTGAAATGCAGGGAAATATCACAGGGAATTGTCATGTCAGGCCTTACCGTGCTGGAGCAAATGTAAGGTCTTCTGTTTACTTTCCTAGCTTTCAGAGAACCTTCTGAAATTCCTGCTAATCCTTTTTCATTCTCATGAATATGAGCCTAAAGCAGGAAACATTTTCTGTTTTATTCTTAAAGGAGAGTGATCATCCTTAGACAAGAATAATCGATGAGAATTGTGTCCTTACTCTTGAAGCAGAATAATGTATTCCCAGCATGTTGCCACATTGAAAGGGTATCACTTTCCATAATCATGTTACAGCTGTATGAGACCAGCCATCCCCAGCTAGGTGCCCTCCAAGGATTTGAAGCTGCAGCTCCCAGCATTTCTGACAGTAGGCCTTGCTGACTAAGCCTGATGGGAATTGAAGTTTGAAACATCTGTAGGCTACCTAGAAAGACTAGAATCTAGAATGAGATTTTATGCAACATAATAGTTCAGATCTATGGTCTTAGGTATACCGCTCTCTCTCAGCACTCCATCAGCAATTTAGGAATGATAACAATCTCCCTTATCAAGTAGTTTTAAGTATTACAACAAGAGAACATTTGTGAAATGCTTGTAACACTCAGAAACATTTTAGGAGACTTACCATCATCATTTAAAAGGATACGTTAAAAACAGCAAAATATTGTTTCTTCCAGAGCACTCAAAATATTTTCAGGGAACAACATGGGAATATTTAGATGTGTTCCATTACAATCAGTAGGATTTACTTGCATCCAGATTCCAAACCAGTGCTCTAGCCATACTTTTGCTTACCAGTAGTTTTAGAACAATAGCAGTTTTTTTCTATGTGGCACATAAGTGTAACCAGATCGATACTTTACTCTTGTTCACTCACCATCATTCAGATTATTCTTCTGAATAAGGTATGCCATGTTGCAAGTAAGTGGTACCACACTAAATGGAGCAATACTTGTATACTTTATTTGCCTCCTAGAAGTGATTAGTCATGCATCTGGTCTGTCCATTGGGTTCTTATCAGTGTCTTGTGCCCCTTCAGTTTAAGATCTTAAATGTACCGATGTCTTCCCAACTGGCTGCAAATCACTGGAATCAGCAACAAGCTGAGCAAGAGGAGAGAATGAGAATGAAAAAACTGACATTGGATATCAATGAACGGCAAGAACAAGAGGATTATCAGGGTAGGAAAATGCTTTTGAAGGTCTTTCATATAGATGATGTCATCACTTCCCTCACTGTAGCCCTTTTGGGGTGCTTTTACACAGTCCTTTTGTCACTGCTCATTTGTTTAGTTTCCAGATGCATAAATGACTGCTCTGAGTCACTACCTAGGAGAAGACCGATTGCAGTCCTACCATAGTTTACCAGATTATTTTAGAAAAGCAAAAGCCAAAGATCAGCACAATGAAAAGATACACTGGTCAAATAAATATTGCTGTTTCTTGAAAAGCCCTTCCATCAATTCACAGTTGTTTTATGTCCAGTAGGCTTCCTAAAGCTCTAGGCTGGTTACCAAGAGAAAGAGTGATAGCTAAAAATCTTTCAGGAAGCAGAGTGGGATCAGTTATGGTGGTCTCTGGCTAGCATGAAAAATAATTATTCTGAAATGTACAGACCGGAATTTTCAAACATGACTTTCTTTGTTTGCCTTTAAAAATTACTTTCTTTTTCATATTTGCTTTTGTTCTGTCATAGTTATGCCAGTAAATATGTACTAGCCCAATAACCATTACATGTTCCAAATAAAATGGGAATTTGTGTATTTTTGTTGGTATTGCAGAATTTAGTCAGAAAGGTTTAACTGTTTCACCGAAAAAAACAGGATTTCTCAGGATTCTCCTTCTGAAAGATTAAAAACTTGGGAGCTACGGCAGTTGACAGTGCTAATATTTGTTTAGATTTGCAACAATACCCTCTGCCACATGTTAATGTTGCTTTCAAATTTATAAGCAGAAATGATGCAGTCCCTGGCTCAGCGGCCAGCTCCAGCAAATACCAACCGAGAACGGCGGCCTCGTTATCAGCATCCAAAGGGAGCACCTAATGCTGATCTAATCTTTAAAACTGGTGGAAGGTAGGTATTCTGGAAACATGGTTTTGTTATTGCAAGGTTTTCAATTTGCCCAAACATTCATTATTTAGACATGGAAAAAGCCAATAATTAGCCAATAGTAAAAGTGATCATTTCCTTGAGCAAGAAGAAATATATCCCTTGTATTCTCATCAATCCACAGTTCTTTGTAACTTAAAAAAGATACTTTAACTCTTAACTGTAATTGGTAATCAACTCATTAAACTATTCCCATCTAGGCAGAGAAATTTTAAAAACACAGTAGAGAGAATCAAAACAATCGTACAGTTAATGAAGCTACTAAGTTACTTTGGCCTAGCAAGGACATGGCAAGTTTATTTTCACTAAGTCTTCCCTCCATAGGTACAGAACAAAAAATGTTTGTTCAGATATCTGCTCCCTGCAAGAAGCTTTGTCCTAAACCATGTTAAGTGAAGAGAGTGATTACTGCACAGTGATTTTGAATAGGCACCAGGAGACTAATATACTTCCACAGCGTCTATAGAGAGATTTCATTCCTACTTTCATAGTAATTGACCCTAGCTGAGGAAGGTTAGTTATCCAAAGCTGCATGGGTACAGATTGACAGGATATTTCTTGCAAGCCAGTGACCTGTAGAACTCAGGTGTCAGCCTTTTTCATACAAACAATTTAAATCCTGGCTGATGGAGTCAGAGAAAACTTGGAGAAGACCATGATTAAACCTACTCAGAATATTACCCCCCAAATGGCTTAATAATTATTTTTATCAATTTCCATGCATTATATCCCTATATTGTAATTGAGGTTTGGAGAAGCTGAGAGCCAGCTATCGCTGAGAGCCAGCTATCGCTAATTGCCCAAAGCCACCTAATGAACTCTGAACTGGGGCTTCCTACTTTCCAGTTTTAACCATTAATCTATGGCCATGTGCTGCCTCCAGCTCTTTCTAGTCACTTCTCTAGTTTTCTCTTGTGTTGGTCTCTACGTGGCACCTGTACAGAGAAGTAGCAATCCCTGTGATGGAGCCCCATGTCAGGTCGTCTCCGGGGTGCTTCACACACATATATTTCTATCCCACCCTTCCTTGCAAGGAGCACGTGACTTATTGTCACACATCTGCTTGTAAAAAGAAAATGCTTGCATAGTCATTTGTCTTCTTGCCACAGCCACATGTTTATCATCAATCTATTGCCTAACTTTGGTGATTTGGTGAGGGATAATTGAGCACCTGTAACAAGCAGGTCAAAGAAGAAGGAAAGTGGGAGGAGAAAAGGTGTTCTTTTAAATAAGTAGTAATGTTGTGACCAAATATTCCACTTCCAAAATAACTTTATTCTGAGCCAAAGAAAAGGTGAAAGAGGATCACAGAAGAATGCAGTTCATAAAAGATAGTACTTGCTTCTCAAATTCACTGTCATTCCTTTTTTCAATATGAGCAGGCGTGAGAGAGGGAACAGACAGCGTCGAAGCTGAGATTAGTCACGGAAAAGAAAGAAAAGTGAGTTGTGGAGCAGGAAGGTTCAAGGTATAGAGAATGAAAGTGGTAGCCCTAGGAGTCAGGATAGCCTTGTTCTAGAAATTGCAGCTGGGCAGTCAGTGGTTGGTTGTTATGTTGTATAAACCTTGCATGGATGACCCAGCATGGGTAGCTTTTTCAAACTAATCACAGTAGGAACCCATGGTCTGTTCTAGTGTTTTTTTCATCCACAGTAGGTTGTTGTGTCATCCAAACCCAGACAGCATGAAACAGTGTGGATGAGTCCCAACAGCCACAGAGCTGCTTGGCAAATGCAGCAAAAATCCCTTCTTGTGTCAAACAAATGGCTTTCAGGTGACTGCCATTGCCAGTCAATCCCAAAGGGCCAGAACAGCACCTTGGGATAGCTAGCAGTGACCACTTCTTCTTCCCACCGCAATCTTGAGTGTTTGCCATAAGTTCCTCCATTTTTCCAGAGATCACCAAAGCCAGCAGTAGAGGCAAGCACAAGCTGCCCCTTCAGAGTGTCCAAAGGCACATCGGAGGGTCTGCCCACTAATTTTAATTACTTGTTTTGCACTGCAGAGAGGTGTAAAAATAGATGTTTGTTTTATTTTTTTTTCTGTTGTACAAAGGAGCTCAGTCTCAGAAGTACAACAGGGCCAACTTCCAGCCTTAGCTGAGGTAATGTGTAAGAGGATGTCCCAACCCCTTACCCTGCCCCTGCTTACTTTGGAAATCTTCTTGCTTTCAACGGGGAACTTGTGTTTGAAGCCAAAGTCACAAAAGGTTTTATTTTAATGAAAAGAGGGTGTTTACTGTATATAATACCTTTTCACAGCAAGATTGGTTTTCTTTGTGCATATTTTCCGCTGGAGTCCCCATGGAAGAGCATATTTGCATGTGCCTCTGGGGGCTCAGGGGAGTGTCAGAGTGTCCCACCCCCATGTTGCATGTTTATTTAAAAGGAGAACTTGTTTGACAGATGCCAAAGCTCAGATGCTGAATTTCAGGCACCTTTTAAAAAGGGCATGCTGAATGGGAATTTGGTGGATTTGGACTGGATCATACCTCTGAGTATGTTTGTTTGTTGTTTGTTTGTTTATAAAATGTGTATGCCGTCCATTACTTGCATCTCTGGACGGCTTACAACATAGGTCAAGATCAAATAGATAAATTGACAATTCCACTCTGGCTGCGAATTAATAAAATACAAACAATAAAAACCAGTTCCCATTAAAACATATTAAAATATGGATTAAATAAAAAGGTCTTGACCTGGCGCCGAAAAACATATAATGACAGTGCCAGGTGGACCTCTCTGGTCCCAGTCCAACCTTTCCTGTTTGGAGGATTGGACTGGAAAGTCAGTGTGGTGTAGTGGTTAAGAATGTGGGACTGGGACTTAGATCTGGGTTCCTGTCCCCACTCACCCATGGAAATACCTGGGTCACTATGGGCCAGTCACAGATTCTCAGCCTAACTCTACCTAACAGGGTTGTTGATGTGAGGATAAGTTTGAGGGGAGGACAACTAGGTAACCCACCTTGAATTCCTTGAAAGGAAAAAAAAGGGGGATTTAAATAATACATGGATTTCCATCTTCAGCTGAGGTAACATGGTGACTGCTGCCACTTTCAGGCTGGAAGTTAACTGTGTTGTGCTTCAATGAACAAGACCCTTTTGGTGCTACAGAGACAAAGAAGAAAAAATTGTCCATTTATGCCTCCCCCCCCAAAAAAAAATTGAGTGAAGAAAGAATGGGCACTTGCAAGAAGCTGCTGGGCACTATTCTAAAGAGTAGTTTGTGCTTGTCCCTTAGGGGATCAGGGCTTTCACCAACTTAGAATTAAAAAAATTAAACGACAGCTATGTCAATCTGAAATTGGCTCACAGTTGCTGCTGTCAGGGACTTATCACTCCGACAGTGGACAGTGTCCCATACCTTGGGGGTGGGCAAAGGACCCCCTGTGGGTCCTTGTGGGGGGTCCTTTGTTATGCTCATTATGGGAGCTTCAATGGTTCAATCAACCATTGTGGGAAATAACCACAATGTGTTGCTGTTATGTGTGAACCTGCATTATAGGTAGAGAGGCCACTGTAGACCAGAAGTGGATGACTGTAGAACTCTAGGCGTTCTGGACTTCAGTTTCCAGAAGCCCTTGTCACCGCGACCAGGTGCTAGGAATGCTGGGAGACAAAATCCAAAACATCCCTAAATTTACTTTTTGCCCACCCCTGGTGCAGACTATAGCAGCTTAGATACTCCTCTTGCCAAAAATGGCTTTCACTTAGATGTCCTTTTAAAATAAGTATTAGCTCTGATCTAGGGAGCCTTATGTAGATTTAAATCTGAGCTCCCAAATTGCACAGACTGGCTCTGTTGCAGCTTGAATATAAGACATATGTGTAGGAAACAATATGGCTTGGCTTGGCAAAAGCAGCATCTAAAGGACCGAACTGGTTAAAGTATTCAGACTAGAAATGACTATACTAAGCATTCTTTACAGTTTTGTTTTAAAGAGAGGGAAGGCTATTCCCTCCACACTTAAAATATTGCCAGTTCCTTTGGAAACTGGAAAGTCATACCAGTTCTTCCTTACGGCTGTGTAATCATTCTGTTACTGGAGATGTGCAGTCACAGACTCTAGAGTTACTTGAATTATGCAAATTTGCATAATTCTCTTTTTATTAGTCAAGTAGAGAAGCAATGAGTGGTACAGGATAGTGAAGCTCTGTTATGAACATGAAATCTTACTTTGCTACAACTTGGACTTCAGACACTTTAATTGGGCACTGCCTTCATACTTTTCAAGTGTGTCTTTGCAGACAGAAAGGCTGGAAATTAAATTTAGAATATTAAGCTAGTATTTGCAGGAACCTGAACTTTGATGTGGATACCATATTTTGTGGTACTTCTGTGCTAATGCAAAATTGGAATATATAATTGACTTGATTATAGTTCCACTAAATCTCATACTTGGCAGATTATCATTAGCTTGGCAGAGTTGGAATTGGAGTCCAGAGTAAGAGTCCTTAAAATACCCAGCCTGCTAATCTTGACAGGCCCAGTTGGCTGTGTTTGTCACAACATGACTATGTGGCTTGGCTCTTCATTGTTAATGTTCTTCCTTTCTTCTCTTTGTTAGGAGACGTTGATCCAGCAGCAAGCGTCATTTCATTAGGTCCTGTATCTCCAATGTTGTGGATTAGTGGAGTCCTCCAGCAATTAAACGAGAGCAGCGGACACATCTGAGCATGTCAGTCTAGAGAGTTCAGAATCGAAAACTGGGACAGGCTGGGGCCACAGGGCAGATCCACCAGCCTCCACTAAAAACAGAAATAGCGGAAGCTTCCAGTCATGGCCTACCAAACAAACAAAAAGCATCTTGTTATGGAACCATGTGAGGGTTAATCTTCTCATGAGAATGGAAGTAAATAAATGAGATGGTTAACTTTACCAGTGAGCAGTTCAGTTACAACAAAGAGCAACTTAAATAAGATGGATTATGCTGGAACAGAGACGGTTTTGATGGCTAAGTATGGGGGAAATCAAACCTAAAAAGTGTGGCATTTTCTCTGAATTGAGTGTGGCGTGTCAGGAGGATTTTCATTTTGGGGGCTCCAGATCTGCATTAGAGAAGTGGGAGAGCAAGAGGTAATTATCACCTAGTAAACCCCAATACACAGGATAAGCAAAACAGCAACTGACTTACCAAAACACAAGATAGTCCACAAGAAAAAGGCTTTTGTTCTAAAAGGAAAACCCAGCTCTCCAAGATGGGGGTGTGGGAGAGAGTGAGGAAGGAACCAGATCCAAGGAGGTGGGGTGACCTAGTGCAGGTCAAAGTAGATGGGAAGGTAGAGAGCATTGACCCAAAGTTGCTTTGAACAGCCTGACACCAGCCTAAGAACAGGGATCTAGAGGAGCTCGTTGAAGCATCATTAAAAACCAAAATGTGCCAGTCAGCATGACAGACAGATGCCGAGAAATGGAGCTGAATGTTCTGTTGACTTTCATGGGTTGATAAGCCTCTGTGTCTACATATTAAAAAAGAAAAAAAATTAGTTGGCAACAAGTAGAATTTTTATTTTTCTAAATGAAAATAAGATTTCTTGGTCAGTTTCTGACAATCTTGTTTGTTAGTATAGTTGCGGGGGATTTTTTTGTTTGTTTGCTTTCAAGTAGATATAGTACATTCAGTTAAAGAGCACATCTGTATGCTACTAATTTTTTTTTCCTATTTTAAAATTCTTTTTACCACTGTTTGATTTCTGCATGTAGAATTTTAAACAAGACTTGTACAACTTGTAACATTTCACACTTGCATACATACACACACA